GTTTCAGCGTAAAAGACATACCAGTTACTGGCAAGCCGACATATAAAAAGCGTTGCGACGAAATTGCAGCAAGGAAATGCGACGTTTGCAGAGCAAAAAAATAAAAATAAAATAGCAAGTCATGGAGCGAGGCAAAGGAATTTCCATACAAAGTAGCTGGAAATAAATAAAAATACTTTTCTTTTCTACATTAGCGCACCATTAAAGGAAGTTGCGGCGCTCCCATGGCTTCGGTTTGTCGTCTTTTCGCATTGCATTCATTTCCATTTGCTCGACAGTGCAGCGAAAAAGGCGAAGGAAACGTGCCGTAAACTTCAGCAGACAATCAAAATGCATTCATGTGCCCTTACTTTACTTTATTTACAACAGCCATCACTCCCCCACACTCCCCTACCATTTCCATTCAGGACACTCATTCACTCAGCTCTAAATTCCACTGAATGCGAGCTGTGTGGCAAAACGTCAATTTTCTGCGGCACTTTTCCAAGAAGTGTCACATACTTAGTCTGTTGGATAGCCATTTTCTGGAGCGGCACAGCGACGCCCTGCCACGCTCCTCCTGTCACATCCTACAGATGTGTTTAAAACTACAGCCCTAGCTGAGGCGCAGGTGATGGTGCGTGTTGGTTTCCCAACGCAAACAGGCAGTCAGTTGTTCAGCAAACGTTTTACCCTGTTTTAGCCTGTTGAATTTTCTGAATTTGATTTATTAATATCAATGTTTTAATATGAGAATAAACTAAATTTATGATCAAGCAAGAAAAGGCTCTGCAGAAAAAAAACTTGCTGTGACATACATATGTATAATCGAATGGAATTCATAATTTCCTGAGCTCGAATTCGATATTTTGGAATATAATTTAGCGAACATTGAAGAGAATCAATATCAACTAGACGTCTGCAGGAAGTTTAGATAGTCACATTCTATACAAGCTCAATTATTTCAATCTACAGTTAGAAATGCTGGGACATCTTGCATGCTAATGCTACCCTACTGTACAGTGAACACTATATCTCCTTATCTAAATATCATGCACTCCAACCTCCTGCTGGCACAACTGTGTTTGGGTTTTCCTAATCAGTATAGGAAGATCCTATAAAGCTGGCTACATAATAAAAAATTAGTTGCCTACGCATGCTTAGTCCATGACTACTTAGGGATAAGTATAAAGAGTAAATTTGTCTGGATGTACTCGTATAGCTGAAAAGGAGTTGCTTGTAGTTCTTTGTCTCTATTGCTAAAAATATCAAATAAATATTGACAGTGATTCTGTTTGCCTCAAAGGACTTCTTACTTTAATGTCATTTTAAAATGGACTCGTAATTTCACGTCATTTAATATTTCTGCCTCCTTTTGTCCTCCTTGTGACTTATTGGTAGACCATCTCCGTATTTTGCGCACAAAATTTTCTTTTCGTAATTCTTAATAATGTGCCTTGGAATTCAGTAAGGTGGACTACACTAGAAGCCCTTCAGAATACTCTTGACAGCTTGCGTTGCCACTTCCCTTTATGAATTGAATTCGTTCTTTCTCTGACTTTAAAGGGGTGCAAATATTTTCGATATCGTGCACTACCAGTCCTGTTACACTAAGTTTGAACTGTGAAAACACATTTAATGATTAAGTGCTTGTAATACAGAAGTGGTACACAGCAGCTTCATTGTTACTTAGAAAGCTCGAAAGCTTGTAATCTACCCATAATTCGACCAGTTATGACCCTGTTAAGTACTTATTTTCGATCAACTTAATCATTTCCATATGGCCACTAACAACGGCCTTGACAACTTCAAGCTGTGAATAGTGCCATAGTTGGTCAAACGAGCCACAAAATGGTTCGAGATATGTATGTTTGATGGCTTTTCTATGCATTTAATTAATGAATAAATTGACATATTATTTTTACATCGTTATATTGGGCGAGAGGAAGAAATTGAGTCTGCATATATCACCGATTTCCCATTGCTTTTAAATAACCATTCCATTAATATTTCTGCCTTTGATCAAAAGAGCATTACTTGTATTCTAACACAATGCATTTTTTATGTCTTCACAATTGTGGGTGGTCATGGATAATGAAATACTTTCCCCATATCTGTGCTAGCTTCTTAGCGACATATTTAGACTGACCCCCTTTATATGTGTTAGACATAATAATAATAGCGATATAAATAAATAAATAATGAGAATCTGAGCCGAGTAATTTTCATTGCCAACCGACGAGCAAGAAATGTTGAGGCAGCTGGTGCTTCCATTACAATTAAACCCCTTTCGGGTACCCCAGATCCCCCTGCAAACACATCGAATTGGGTCATGCAATTCCAATAACAATCATAACAAAAGGAAAAGTTTTCATATTGCATAAATTAATTTAATGTAGCCCCCCAAAAAAAATAAATAAAAGAGCACAAGGCATTGGCAGAGTAAAAAGGCAAAAAAAGGGAAGCAAAAATAATTTTGGCAACCTTAAACAATGTACACGACGTCTGTTGCTCCTGTTGTTCTTGTTGCTGATGTTGTTGCTGCCGTACGTATATCTGTATACTTGTATTTGTGTTATGCTTTATACTTATTTCATTTCATTTCATTTGATTCCATTCCACTTTCTCTTGCCAGTGAACAGTACAACAAATGCGGCACACAACACGACACGAGCGCAAACATTCGAATAAAGCATAGCCCGCTTTTTGGGGCTGCCGTGCGACGATCGGGTGGGTGAATGGGTGAGGGTGTGTGTGAGTATGTGTGTGAGTGTGTGTGTGTGTGTGTGTGTGTGGAAGTGGAAGCGGGCCTAAAGGCATATGCCTGTGTAAGCAGCAGTAGGCAGCATAAAAACGAATTGAAATTATTTTACAACATCTTCATGTTGATTTGCTTTCTTCCTCTTTTTTGATTTGTTATTCGATTTGTTGCTGTTTTGGCCGTTGTTGGTGCTTGTTGCGGTGTATGCATAATTTAGACGTTTAGCTGAAAGCAATGGCAGACAAGGTAGAAGCTCGCAATGAATGAAAGTTGAGAGAAAACTTTCCAAAAGGTCCAAGTGAAAAAGTTTCGAACAAAAATTTCGGCCGACGGTGCTCAATTAGGCTAAGTTTTTTGGCCAAAAATGTCTGCCTAAAAAGTAATCAACATCAACATGAACACGAGCATGCCCGAGAGCCTGGCAGCCACAAATCAACAGAAATGAATATTCGAAACACTGACACGTACACACACACACACTCTCACACCAAGGACCTGTAAACACACTTGCATATGTGAGCAGCCGCAAAATTCAAATTAAACAAAATAGCAGGGCTCGACACTGACACAGCCAACCACTTGACCAGCACTCATAAGCTCTTGACCAAAAAATGTGTGCATGCATGTGGACTCTTCTGCATGAATGTGTGTGTGTATGTGTGTGTGTGTGTGCTTGTATGTGTTAAGCGAAAGGTAACAAGCGTTTCAAGACCCGAACAACAAAAGGCCTGAAACGAGTAAACGAGTGGTGGGTGCTTGTGGGTGTGTGCGTTCAAAGTTCAAAGCAAATTGTTGCGGAAGGCAAAAATCAACATTATCATCAACAGCAAGGAGCAGCTAGGCAGCCTAGCAGGCAGGCAGGCAGGCAGCAAGGCAGGCAGACAGGAAGACATCAGACAGCCAGCCAGTCAGCCAGGCCATAGGATACTCATTTCATTAAATGCAGACAAGTTGGCGGCAACAGGAAGGGCGTTACACAGACAAAAGCGCACAGGAGACAACGCCAAATTGTCATTGTGTCTGTGTCTGTGTATGTGCGTGTGTGCGTGTGTGAGGAAGGGCAGAAGTGCTATCCTCTTCCCCACTACACTCTGCTTCCTTTAGTGCACAACGCATGCACACAGCGTTTCGCATGTTGCCTGTCGCATATTAATGAAGTGGGTGCCAGGCGGGCGGGCAAGCGGGCGTGGCATGGCTACGAGCACCCATCAATTTCTCAATATTACGATAGCTGTTGCCAAAAATCTGCATATATGCAAAGAAATGGCTGCCACGCATTGCCAAGTCGGGCGCAGTCAATAATTTCTGGTATTTGTCTCTTATTATCATTTTCGTTTTACGGGTCTGATAAGTACAAGTATCCGCAGTCAAGCTCTCATAAATCGAATGACTAAAGCGAAAAAGACGTGCACTACCACCCAAAATTCCACTTGGAATATGAACATTGTCTCTGTGTTATATCGATCGAATTCGAACCGGATTTTTAATACAGTTGATCGCATTTGTCACAAAACGAATAAATGAACTTTATTGATGTTTTAGAAACATTTAAAAGAAAACAATGTGTTACGGAATAGATTTTTCTTAAATAAACATAATAAATCAACAATCAATTTATCAACAAATCTTGCAATTGCAAATTTATCTTGAATTATATTTTTATTAGAAAAAGAAATACAAAAATCTTTCTACTCAATCGTTCCAAAAACAAACAAAATTTTAGAAAAGAAAATGTTAACACATACGACTTATGCATTTTTTAGCTTTTCAAAGGCTTTGTTATATCTTAGCTACGTATATTTAACAGAGTTTAAAAAATATTTAATGGCAATGAGAAAAAAACTAATTTTAAGAGGTACTTGAAGATTTGAAAAATTGCCACAACTCATAAACCAAGTCATAAATCGAAACTATTAAGAAAATTAATTGTTCAGAATACCATTTTAACTTAAAAAATAAGGGATTTCTAAATATTGCTTATTGATTTTAGAAATTACAATTTTATTTAATCACCACAACAGAACCACGTATATGTTCTGAACAAGCCCTGAACGCTCGGATATTTTTACATTTTGCCAATACTCTAGAGACTGTTGAAGCTTTAAGTCCATGTATCCAAACTATGGCTATGCCTAGGGTTTTGACAATCAAGCCGGAACGCACGGGCTTGTTAATTCATTTAGACAGCAACTTGTTTGTGTCGATAAAAGTATTTTGTACAGAGATATACACTTGATTGGCCATTTGCACGAAAACTTACCCAAAAAGAGCAAATTACTTAACATTCTCGCATGCCAAGCATTTGTAGCGTTGGCGCTTTAAAATGGCACACTTTTATTCAATTCTTTTTTTCCCTTTTTTTCTTTATCTGTTTTCATCCACTCCACTTAAATTTCACATATTTTTGCTTGGCATTTATTTTGTAGCTGTATTTGGAATTTATTGGCAGGGCTTTGAAACTTCAGCGCTTTAAGTGTAACACGAAACGCGGACGCGTCGCACTCTGACACTTAAGGACAATGACAGCAAGGCGTATACGTAATGCGTAGACGCCTGTTTGCGTGTCTGTGTGCTTGCAATGGCCCGCTGCTGATTAGACGAGGCGATGGCGACGGCGACGGCGACACGAGACCCGTCGATGACGATGAACAAGACGACGACGACGACGACGACGAAGAAGACGCAACACGTGTGGAACGTTGAACGCCGCGCGCTTGGCACACAACTCAACCGGTCGACGCACGAATTCAAACTGACGGCGACAAATGCGAGCAGAGTAGAGTGAACAGTGTCGTTGTTGTTGGCATTGCCTGCCCTCTTCCGTCCTCCCTACTCTGCTCCTGCCTCTTGCCTCTCTTGCCAGTCAGCCATGTGGCCATTGTGGCCTACGAAGCCAGGGCGAAACGAAAGGCGAGCGAGCACGAACGAACAAATTTGAATTTGCTGGGCAGGAATCTAAAGAGAGCACTAGCATTGGGATTTAAGAGTAGCTGCTAATGCTTGTGCTGCTAATGTCGAATTATTGTTCAGCAGGGAAATGTGAATGAAATAATAGGTATAATATAATAAGATTTTGTTTATTATATTTTCAGACAAACTTTATTGTCCTCCACTGCCACTTGTGCTACCACCTGGTCGAAGAGTGTTTTCAGCGAGGCAAAGAGAAAAATGACCAAAAAATGGCCCCTCTCTGTTGCCATTGAATTGACTCGAAAAAAGTGGGAAATTTATTCACTCGCTCTACCAAAGGCGAAATTTTCAAACAGCTGTTGTTTCGTTGCTCAAGCCTTTTATACATTGCAGGAGGTCAGGGATGCCTTAAGGAGCTTCGTGTTGAGCTTCTTATTGTTTTTGGGGTGCAGGGGCAGTCACTATTTATTACTACTTTTGACGACCAATAAACAGTTTCGGAGCAGCACGAGTTTATTTCCTATTGATACGATTTTTTTATTTCATTTCTCTCTTCCTGTGCTTCCAGCTCTAGCTATTTTCTTAAGCACTTTTTTGACCATTTTCAAATTTCTTCTCACCCTAATCATAGAACAACAAAAGAGCCAAAACCTATTATCCGCTGTACCCAATAGTTTAAATGTTATAATGAAATATTTAAATTTATTTGCAACCAAAAAGCGACTTAGTGCGATGCGGCTTTCGATATAAATGTAAATATCTTATAAAGTACAGGACAAGCTGGCTGTCGTAGATATAGGACGCCGAGCAGCAGATATCGTCTTCATTACTCAAGTGCTTGCAGACTAAGAAGAAAATATTGTCCACTTCTTCTGGAAAGATTCAAATGATGAGCTTATATTTGCAGAAGTCTTTTGAAGCACTGGCGCTGCTTTCATGGGCTGGCTAAGAAAACTTTCCTCCAACAAATCGGAGATCCCTTTTTTTTGACATAAGTTGTTTATTTGTTGTTTATTTTCTTTAGTAATTTTTGGTTGTATGGCTACTGACACATCTGACTCCACATAGCTGCCCGGATGTCAACCAAATTGCTTTGCGGAGCGGGAACTTGTCAACGAATATGTCGACAGTCAGCCTTTACTAGTCGACTTAATATTAACTAAATGCGAGTAGAATGGTTATATCTTCTAGCCATGTCTCTCTATCCGTCTGTGTGAGCGCAAGTATCTCAACAAGTATTAGGGCTAGAGCAAGGCCCGACAAAGGATAAGTTTATGTTGACAACTTCCGCACTTCCTTAATTCTAACGAATATTCCCACTTATTGCTTATACAAGTATGTCCTTCATTGGGACAGGTCGGCTCAAAGGGAAGTTGTTTTCTACATTCTGTGCCAGCAACTGCCGCTTTGCTGTCTTGGTTCAAGTCCATACTATACGCACGACCATAGACACAAACCCGATTTACATACATATTTGAAGAAGATATACGTTTTTACAAAAAATTAAAAAAATTTATGCCTGTAGGATTCTTATTTAAAAGAAAATGATTTAACAATAAAGATTCAAGACCTATTTTGAAGAAGGTGCGGGGCATATAAAGGACGGGTCCGCAAAACTTTAGCATTTGACTCGATTTGCAATTGGCAGAGGTAATTAAAATTATTCTGTCAGCACTACAATAATTACACCGTTTAAGAAGTTTAAATGTTTTCTGTATGCTACCTTTTTCTTCCATAGTTGTTAATTCCTTGATGGAAGGGTTTCATACTGGTATTTGTTCTACTAGACACATATTAGATGGCTTGGGAGACTCCATTTTACACTAACCTTCAATTACAAACTAACCTTTGCAAAACTCTTTATTGCTCAGAGACATATTACACATGTATTATCTTTATTTATTACTAGTTACTTACTTTTTCTTTATATCTAAAAGCGATATCCAGCGAACCTATGACAACACTTTTTTGAATTAATCGCAAGAAGCTATTACTTTGACGGCTTCCTACACGTATAATATAACAACATACATTTAAATTGGAATAAAATAAAAAAAATTGTATCTTTAAAAATAGAATATACCTTATCTCGCTTAAAAGTATCTGATGGATCGAACCAGTATACCAAAAATATCTGACTCAGGCATTATTTATTATATATTATTTATTTATTTATTGACTGACTTCATAGGAGGAAAATATATAGTTGGGGAATAAGTGAGATTTCTCTATCTGCATATGTATGTATGTAGCTCCTCCCAATTTAGTAATAAGTATAACAATATTGATCTGAAATGCTATAATGAAGACAAAAACAATCAGCTGTTTATATCAAAAATTCTCAACTTTTGCAGGACAGTAATATGCCACAAGGTGGCGCTATTTTGATAATGGACTCCAAAAAACTAAGCGACCTGAAAAAGGCGTACCATTTAAAAAATGCTTGCGAGCCTGAACCTTTAACACAGCCTTCTGTCTATCCATCGGGTTGAGCACAAGTCAAAGTAAATATAATAATAATAATTATAAATAGTGTTAGCTGAAGAGACGAAATTTAATACTATACCTAAGTACCAAAAAAAAAATCTAAAGAAGCAAAAAACGTTTCCATTTGAGATTCAATATAAAATCACAGACGAAGCACACATTTTTTAAAAGCTCTTCTCTGTGTACAACAAGCTTACAGCTTACATTTAAGCAAGCAGTTCTGCGCAAACTATTAAGGTGCTGCCATAGCAGGCAGCTTTTTTTCACAACCGTCAGTTTGGTATGTCTTTAAAGCTTGCCGACGGGAAAAGCTTTGTAAAAATACCAAAAGTGTGGCATGATTTAGCAACAAACAACAACGCTGTGGCTTTATCAACACAGACGACCTCCAAACAACCTTTTGACGTTTGGATTGCCCACTTTTTCGGCTGCTTTCATACTCTATTATTTCGCTTTGGAATTTCACATCGTCGACCGCGCGCAGCTAGAATAAAAAGCGTCGTTGTCTTACTCCAGTGCAGCAGCAGACGCAGTCGAAAGCAGAGCAGCAAACAGCAGCAGAACAGCCAAAAGCTAATTTCGCGGATTCAGTTTCCAATTCGGTGAGTCGGCTAGTCCAGCAAACTGAATGAGTGTTAGTGTGTGTGTATACTTATGTGTGTGTGAATAATTAAACCTCGTGATAAATCTTAAATAAATTGTAAGCGGCAATAAACGAAAAAAATCTTCCTTCTAATACACTTCTCAAAAGCAGCAAAAGTTATCGTAACATTCGTGGGCCTGTTGCCGTTGGTTTCGTAATCGCCTCTAACCAAAGTTACAGAATTTTCTCTACAACGACTTGCAGTGTGTAACTGTAAATTATGATTGTGTGCTTGTGTGTATGCCACTAATTAGACAACTGGAAAGTTTTTATGTTGCTGAAGTGTTTGTGACAACAGTACTAAGTCTATGAATAGTTCTGGAACTTGTTACCCCCTCCCCTCCGCCGTACATTGCTCTTATCGCGACTCTGCTGACCTGTGCACCAAGACTCATTGCACTGATAAGAGGCAGTCCCGACGTCCGCGTCGATGTCAGCGTCAGCGCCATATCTCGGCTATCGAATGACGTTCGCGTCTGATCAAAAGTCGCGCAGCTGAGCGCACTTGAAAGTAGTTTTTCTGCCGGCTTATGCCACCATTAACCGCACCCTGCAGCCCCCCCCCCCCCCCCCACACACACACACACACACACACGTAGAGACACGCGCACACACACCCATCCATGATTTTCCACTATTTTGGTTTTTCTTGGCAGCCGTTCAGCTGCAATTTGTAGTCGTCGTCTTCATCGTCGTCTCTGGCCACTTTTTATTATTTATAAATAGATGCAAATTCTATACAAGCGTGTGTGTATGTGTGTGTGTGTGTATCTATGTGTGTCTGCATCTTCTTATTGGCTTCTCCCATCGCTTGAGTCAGTTTCACACTTTCATTGCTTTCGTCATCGCTGTTGCATTACAAGAAATTCTCGAGTTTGTTGACGTCTTTTCCCTCAGCTCGTTTTATTTCAATGTACATTTCTTAAATTAATGTTCATTTATTCCTCTTTACACAATGAATAGGGATCAAAAGATCGCAATTACTTCACTTTAAAACTGAATCAAAATATGTGAGATACATATAAAAGGAAGCGGCGAGCGACCTTGGGGCAAAAACAAAACATGTCCTTGTTTCTTATAAAGACCGGTTCTTGCACAGCTGCCTGAAACAATTTAAGCGACCTTCATAAGTTCAAGACGAGTCAGACAGGTTTCTTTTGAGGCATTTCTCTAGTTATACCCATATGGATTCAGAATTATAGACAAAACTGCAAGACACGATGACTTAAGGGTACAATTTGTGGTTTTGAAAATTTAAAATCAATTATTTCAACTGAAATACTACTGTGCTTAGATTTCATCTTCTATTCCATTGTTTAAGTCGCCTTAAAATTTGTATTACTCCTTTTTTTATTTTCTGAGGTGAACGGTTAATCCAAAATAAATAAATAAATTCAATATCACGAAATATAATTCTTCGCTGCTCCAGTTATTTCTTGTATCTACTTGTAGTCTTTTTTAGGTGTTGTACATAATTGAAAATATTTCCGAAACCTTTGGAAAGAATAAATTTTACTAGAACATTACACATGAAAGTACACATATTATTAATCGGAAATACAAGTAGTGTGAAAGTCTCACTAATTTAAAGTTATAATAAGAGTCTTTCTTTGAACATTTCCGGTCCTGTGTTGGGAAATACATATTAATGTCCCATTATGATCAACCTGTTTGAATTGCTCGTGATTTGGTTAGCTTCAAGACTTTGAATTGCTCTTTCTATCAAGCTGCATCGAATTCTGAAACGTGTTTTGTATAAATACCATGAAAATGACAATTGAGAAAAATATTGTTATTGAAAAATTGTTCCTCAACTCAAATGGCCAGCAACGCTTAAACAAACAATAATTCATTTATGAATCTATTTCCCTTTCGACTTCTATTCAACTCTTAGTCTCACCCTAATAAATATTTATAGAAACATCTGGTAGCACCTCCTGTTTAGCCTAAATATGTCCTGCACTAAAGCATGTTTTCCCCAATATCGTACTATAATATGAACCTGCCAGTCCTCTGCAATAGGTGGATTCTCATCCTCGTTCCCTATTTTTATTAGCTACCCACTAATTCCTTTAAGTACTTGCCTGACGTAAGCTCCGCCAGCCTCACTCCTATTTCTCTACGATTTGACGCCGTTTACTGTATTCTCGACCTATTGGTGACTTAAAGGCCCGACCCACAACTCACAATGGGTGGTAGAGTGGAAAACAAAATTCCATTGCGATGTTGTTGTGTGGACTTTGTAACCAAAAAGTTGGGGGCTCGTTCGCTTTTCGTTACCTAGCGAGCCGTTGTGTACGAAAACGAATAATTTTTCCAGATCAGATTGAAAACCAGATGATGTGCCTGCCATAGCAACAGCGAGCGTTAGAATATCATAGAAACTTGTTTGGAACCAGGTTCTACAATTTTCGAAATATGCTTATTTGTACAATTTGGTTTTTGTTTTTATTTCCCCCCCTTTATCAGCTTGTTTTGGTTGACTTTGGCTTGTCGCTTTGACACACACACATACTCGTATAGCTGCCTGTGTGGATGGGTGTGTTTTATTTTTATACATATTTTTGATAGCGTAGTCGTTGTTGTTGTTGTTGTTATTATTTTCGAACGCCGTGTGCCCAACTTGCTCGCTCTTGATTACTTATATAGACGACGTATTTTGGAGAATGGTTCAGTCTTCAATTGGTTGCCGGCACGAATAGGTGTGTGTGTGTGTGAATAGAGTGAATAATACGTAATAATGTTAATAATCATATAAATACCTAAATATATGTATATTTCAAGAATAAAGGTCACATACATATAGTATATACATATATACATATAGTATGTAGCTGTATCAGCTGTTGTCGTCCACCCCCACCCCCACCCCGTGCACACTAGTTTTCGCTCTCTTTCCCACAAGTCACCTTCCAAAATGTCTCTCAAAACATATTGCGTGTGCTGTGTTCAATGTCAAACAAGTCAACAGTGCTGCCCGAATATCCAACCAGTAGTTGTCTCCAAAGATATTTCAATATATATATCACGCATTTCCTCATTGCTGGGCTTTTAAGCTATAGCTTTCGACTTTCGGTTTTCATAGGTTGGTGTTGCTCACGAATTTCATGAGTGCCAACGAATGTTGCTCAACATGTTGCCGAGCATCTGCCGACTCGCTGACCTTGTTCAATGTCAGCCCGCGAGTGATATACTTATACATGCATATAGAAAACTTTTGACATGCGCCGTGTTGCGTGCCTCGACCTCTTCCTCGGCCTCGGCCTCTGCCCACGCCTACACCTCAGTCACATCGACGTCGGCGTCATTAGTGAAAGTGAAAGTCTACGTCACACAAAACGCACTTCCCCCTCGTCTCTCCCTCGCAGACATCAACTTTCAAAACCCTCCGGTTCAGTTACATCAGCCGCCGCAGCACACCGCCCGCGACTCATTTAGGCAGCGGAAATTGTGTGAGCAGCTCAGTTAGCAGAAAAACGTTGACGAGATTGGTTGTGCACAGTGAAGAGTCCAGAGTTTAATTAAAAATAGTTATTTGCAAGAAAAACTAAAAGGTACAAGGCTTGTAAATTGATAATACAATGGCAGTGCAAAGTGCTTATCAACGTGCTCGGTGTTAAAGGCTAAATAACTGATTAAAAGAGCACCATTAATAATTTCCTGTGCCGATAATTTTTATAGAGCTGCTGTCAACCACTCTTATTGCTGCAGCTTAAGCCTAATAGCTTATGTGATTGTGCGAGTGATATATGGAAACTAAAATTAATGGTTACAATATCAATTGTAAAATAAAAACCCAACGATAAGCTATCTAAATACTTATACATACATACATATATGTATATGGGTATTTGCAGAACTTCCTATACATTTTATTTGCCTTAGCAACATTGTAGCCAGCAACATTTTGTGTGTGTACGCCAATGTTGCCAAAGCTGTCGCACTCTACTACGCTCTCTTGCTCTGGCCTCTCCCAAACGGGAGAAAAACAGCTGTGTGGGTTTTTACACTCGCCCACAAAATATATGTACATACTCTTTTAATTCAAATCAAAATTTTCTGCAAAACAAGAACAAGAGATTATTTAATGAATACTACATACATATGTATGTATACTATTTCTACATTAACTTCACTTCAACTCTTTTATCGGATCGTTCTCAAAGCTTGAAAGAATTGTGTGAAACTCCTATAGTCCGTACACAAATATTTTAAGTATTCAAGGGATTTGTCTTAAGTGAAATCTTTACGTGTTTCCAATTTAATATTTTATCAAAATGTGTTATTATTTGTGGAGAAATGTGATGCCATATCAAAAAACTTTGCTCAGTTTGTCTAAACACAAAATTGAAAATAAAAATTCGCCGTCTTTATGATTCTATCATAGATTTTCTTTTGGCCCCAAAGCCAAACAAAATTGTAACGTTTTAAGCAATACGCTAATTTGGCGACTTTCTCACTTTTGCAGAACCACACTCGAATCTCAAAATGACTACATACTTCAACTACCCCAGCAAGGAGCTTCAGGAGGAGCTGGCCTGCATTGCCAAGGCTATTGTGGCCCCAGGCAAGGGCATTCTCGCCGCCGATGAGTCCGTCTCGACCATGGGCAAGCGTCTGCAGGACATCGGTGTGGAGAACACTGAGGAGAACCGTCGCGCCTACCGTCAGCTGTTGTTCACCTCGGACCCCAAGCTCGCTGAGAACATTTCGGGTGTGATTCTGTTCCACGAGACCCTGTACCAGAAGACCGACGATGGCACTCCCTTCGTTGATGTGCTGAAGAAGAGGGGCATCATTCCCGGCATCAAGGTCGACAAGGGTGTTGTGCCACTGATGGGCTCTGAGGATGAGTGCACCACTCAGGGTTTGGATGATTTGGCCGCCCGCTGCGCCCAGTACAAGAAGGACGGCTGCGATTTCGCCAAGTGGCGTTGCGTCCTGAAGATTGGCAAGAACACCCCATCCTACCAGTCGATCTTGGAGAACGCCAATGTGCTCGCTCGCTATGCTTCCATCTGCCAGTCGCAGCGCATTGTCCCGATTGTGGAGCCTGAGGTTCTGCCTGATGGTGATCACGATTTGGACCGCGCCCAGAAGGTCACTGAGACCGTCTTAGCTGCCGTCTACAAGGCTCTGAATGACCACCATGTCTACTTGGAGGGTACTCTGCTGAAGCCCAACATGGTGACTGCTGGCCAGAACAGCAACAAGAAGAACACCCCCGAGGAAATCGGCCTGGCCACCGTCTTGGCCCTGCGTCGCACTGTGCCCGCCGCTGTTCCCGGTACGTTTATCGATTGTTCCATATACTTGTATATGAACGAAGCTAACACTTGAACTCTCTATGCAGGTATTACTTTCCTGTCCGGTGGTCAGTCTGAGGAGGAGGCCTCCGTCAACCTGAGCGCCATCAACAAAGTTCCTCTGTGCAAGCCATGGGCCCTGACCTTCTCGTACGGTCGTGCCCTGCAGGCCTCCGTCTTGCGCGCCTGGGGCGGCAAGAAGGACAACATTGGCTCCGGCCAGAACGAGTTGATCAAGCGCGCCAAGGTAAGTTGATGTTAATGCTATTGATGGCTAGTCATAAGTGGGACTTAGGTTAAGTTTCTGGGCCCCAGAGCTATGTTGTTTGGGTGTGACATTTCGGCTAATAGCGTATGTTTTTGGTAAATCAGAGACTACTCTACACATAAAACTACACACAATCCAAATTTACTAAATCCATATTAATCCCATAATCCCATACATTTCCCAATTCTCAACGCCCGAATCATTAATCATTAGACCCAATCCAATAGGCGCACGGCTTGGCAAGCATTGGCAAATATGTTCCAGGCTCCGTTGAAGGTCCTGCTTCTAATGAGAAACAACCGGACTATTACTAAATGGAGCATGTGATCACTAACAGAAAACACAAGAGTTCTATCAAGTCCTTCAAGCCACTATTGGAGACGTCTTGAGAGCCTGCATGCTAAACAAGTCGGTAATCAGCCATTTCGCCCATCATTATAATACACACAATTTGCTTGCTTTAACAATTAATGTTCACCAGTGGATGTAGACTTTGGCATCACTCTTCCATGCTTATTATTATTCGACTTTTTTTACATAAAACTTGCAATTGGAAAACATTTAAGCATTGCTGATCACAAACTCAACTTTGGTTGCAACTTCAATGCCTTGCAAGTGTATTTTATTCGCGATTAACTATTAGAACTAATCAATGCACCTCACATCTGACACTAACTTCTTAATCATTTCATGCTTGACTTTAGTTCAATACTTGCTTTTTTACGCACGCTCTTTTATTAATCCCAAACCAATCCTTGCCCCTTTCTCGTTCCGCTACCAAATGCATAAACAGGCTAATTCGCTCGCTTGCCAAGGCAAATACGTGGCCGGCTCGATTCCCTCGTTTGCGGCATCAAAAAGCCTGTTTGTTGCAGGCCACAAGTACTAATAATGCAAGAGCTTCTGCAAGACTCGCGGCCGACTGTTCCCGTGCAATATCAATTACCAATTGGCCTAAGAAGAATGTGTTATGCACTGCAAGAAACCCCCAACTGCACCGAAACATTCCACACACACAACAACAACAACACCAACACCAAGAACTGCTGCAATTGGCCGCCAATAAAGACGGATGCAAGCTCATTGCCTAAAATCTTCCTTAACACTTTTATTCTATTTTATACACTTACTTTATACACTTAAATTTAGAACGAAAATACTGTACTGATTGTAACTCTTTCTGGACCCTTGAAATTCAGAACTCACTCTGGTTACAAAAATGAGAGACAATTTTCAAGAATAAATAAATTATGTAATTCAAAAAGAAAGATAGTCGCGAAAACATTTAAATATAAAGTAATGTTTCATTTAATGGCATTTGTTTACGGAACAGCCAACTAAATGAATAGATATTCATAAATATATATAGTATATATAAAAAAGTAAGAGTATTGCATTTAAGTTCTAATTTTAAAATGCTTAACACTAAATTGCACTTTTTTATTTAAATACTTTTTGCTTCAAGTCTAGACACCTACTAAATTTAATTTATTTAGGCAGACCTGCCTGAGAAGTATTTAAGGCATTGCGTCACAAACATGCAAACGCGGTAAATACTGAGGCAGCTTGTAATTTCTCACCCACACACAGACACACACACGTGGGCGTTAAATAATGGATAGTGTGCTGCCGGACTTTCAGACTTTTGTGTATCGGCCTCTGCATGTAAAATAAAGATCCTTTCCGACCCTTCGTGAGCTACGGTTGGAGGGCAATTACGCGTAATCGAATGAATGTACGCTCGAAAGACTCAAAAATTTAATTTTCAGAAAAAGCACAGCAAAACTTTCTGTGTGTGGGTGGGTGGGAGTGTATCTGTGTGAATGGGTGAAAAGGAAAACTTTGCTGAATGCCCGCAGGCAGCAACGGCAGCCTAGCCCGCGCACAAAATCGAGGCCCAACAAACAACGCGTGGGCAAAGGTTAAACATCAAGAAAAAAAGGGAAACATTTCGGGAAATATTTGCGAAGTTGCGTGGGTTAAATTTTAAGTCAGCCATCAGATTTAATATTATTATAGTCATGAACATCAATCTGTTTTAATTAGGCAGACTTTTCCATGTAACACAATTAATACGTTTTCTTTTCTTCTTTTTCTCTTCCCCGGCAATTTCCTGTTCCCCGCAGGCTAACGGCGAGGCTGCTGTTGGAAAGTACGTGCCCGGAAGCGCTGGTGGCGGCGCCGGCTCCCTGTTTATTGCCAACCACGCCTATTAGGCGCCCGCAGGAGCATAATAATACACAATAAAAAAATTATAAAAAAAACAATTAATAATATTGCCAATTTGAACTTGGCAGTTTTGATTATTTATTATCTAAGTTACAAGCAAGCAAATCGCTAAAAAGCATGTGAAAAATAACCAAAAAAAAAAAAATTAAGAAACAAACAAATGAAATTATGTTTATTGAGACGCAAATTTTTTTTAGTTCTAAGCACAATGTGTTGAAGTTATGCAAATTATATTATTATTACTGAAAATACATATTTCAATGTTTCGATGTGCCAGTATGTCGTAAATCGAGTAGCACACTAATTGAACAACAATCAAGAACAACAAGAACAACAACAACATCAACAACAAGAACATGAAAAATAACATCAGTGGGCACAAAAGCAGCAACAACAACAGATTTGCTTTGAACATTGAAGTTGTCTCTTTATCAATTTTTATATATACATATATTTAAACTTTCTGCAAACGTTTGTACACAAAACAAGAGAAGTAATACGAAACGCAATCTTTTTTTATAATTATTATTATTATTATTATTATTACAAATTATGATTATGATTATAATTATAAGCAACCAAAATGACGCAAATAAACAAACGCAATACAACAAACAAACAACACAAAATCTATGACAAATACTTACAAATTATTGAAGCTGATATACATATACATACATTTTATTAAAGGTAAACATTGTTATTACTTGAAAAAAAAAGAAGAGTAAAAGTAAAATGGGAAAAGTTAGTTGTGACTCCAAAACTGTAGTACACACAAAACTGTAGGAAGTAGTTGTAATGCTTTAACTTGCAGACAGCTCTGCTAACTAAACCAACATATTGTTATAATGCTTATTGTGGTTAAATCCTTCTCAATTACATTTTCGTTAACTCAGGCATGTCTTGCATTACTAAATACGAGCATATGAAGAAGGGAGTGCTTATATAGCGAAGCAACAGAATAGATCCACTCTTATATATTGATGTATATACATACACATATATTATATATTTAAACTATGTGTTGATCAACTTTATATTTCTGCATATCGTTGTTAATTAAATGAAAATGAATTACTTATCGAAACAACAATACAAACAAGTTTTATAGTTCAAATGCAACCCGAGACGTTTACTATACATTGTCATTCAAAAGATTTCCTCTGAGCAAATTGAACAATAACAACAACAACAAACAGCATGTTTCATTGAATTCCCTGTACAATCAAGGATGTTGAACGAAGAGCATTCAATAAAGCGAAACTGAAGACGAGCAAAACGATCAATTGTGTTTGATTCCAAAAAACGAACATAGTGAGTGTTTCAGAAAAACTGAAGCATACCTCCAGGGTTGCCTTCAAAATGTCCCCAGCTGCGCTACGCACTGCTTGGACAATGGCCAGCGCTACAGTTTTGAGTGAACTGGAACTGTGAACTTGTATATTTTAGCTTCATCTGTACTTACAAGTATATAATATTCCAGAGCGCATAAATGGCCTCCGTTGGCTGCATTTTAAAGCTATATTTGCAAAATATTTATACTTGTTGTACTTATGTACGTTATATTTGCACGATATGTATAATACGTGTATGCTTTCATTTATTTAGTAATTATTTCAACAAATTTGGGCACATAGTGCAAAATTCGTTTTAATTTCAACTTAAAAGATAAGAGAACCTCCAAAATGAACTAGCAAGTGTACAAAAATGGGGATTTTATTTACAGTCCGGCCAGCTATTCCCCGAACTAACAAACTAAGGAAAGATACCCAAAAGTGCTCTTTTTTAATCAAAAGCTAATAAGATTAGTTAGGGAGAAAAAAGTGAATGGAAAATCTTCAACCAGGTGGGGTACAATTTCGTTGCCAGTCCTCTAAGTTACAAAAATACTTCAACATGAACACAAACATAATGTAATGCATCAAAGCATTAAAATTTCTAGTTTCGATTATATAAGACGAAATAGTACTAACTTTTTAAAACTGTTTCCTCATCCTAAGTAGAAAAATATATATTTTCAGAAAATCGATAAGTTCTACCAACTTTTTCTCATCTTTCATCAATCCATAAATCTTAAGAGATTTTATTACTTATATATTCAAGAAATTCTCTTACGTTTTATTTATTTCCGCAATTTGCAGTGTTATAGCTTAACCCAAGGATGTTTACCCCTTTGTCAACAAACTTTGCCGGATTGACGAAAAGAGTTCTTAAAATCTTCAAAAAACGCATACTTTTAATTGCAGGACGCCAATGTGGGACCACACATGGTAATTACAGCTGAAAGAACAAAAAAAAAACAACGCTCGAGAGTTAATAAATTCGATTTATTTAAAAAGGTGAAATCATAAAATACTTGCATTTCAATTAAAGTAAAATGTTACTCTGGAAACTTGGGGCAAGAATTGTTCTGCTTGTTCAAGCTTCTTGATAGCTAAAAAAATGCTTGATTAAGGCAAAGATATTTTTACTTTATGGAACTTGCTTAAAATTTGATTTATGTATTTTGAAAATTATAAATTATCGCAAACTCCTCGAGCATTACAAAATCATTTTCTATCTAAATGAAACACAATAATTCCGGCAATATAAAATGTCTACAATCTGGGGACTTTTTATATAACTCTTTATAAATGCATCGACACCAATACTTAAAATTAATTAATACCATAAGCCTATGCATACAAATCGCGATAGCCGTCCGTCGGTTTGTTTTAATCACCACTTCACGATAGACCCCAGATATAATGTCGAGATCACAGTCAGGTCACTGGCTATTAAGTATATAGTTATAGTTAGAATTTTATATCAGGATGGCCTTTGGATATTGAGAGCGTTCTTGTGATACTGATATTTCATGCTTTAGTATGGTGTTATTTTCCGGACCTTTTACGGACCAAAGTTGTTGTTGTAAGACAATGTGAAAAGGAGTTTCGGTTAAACGCAGATTTCTCCGTTTTTTAATTAATTTGTTCTGTGTCTTTTTTTAAAAACTTGTATATTAGTTTCTTTGAATGTTTTTGATACTACATTTAAAAATGTCGTTGAACCTCGTTCTATTTAGATCTGTCTTCAATATTTAAAGCTCGCATGTATCTTTATTTGCGTAACTAATTCGTAATATTTAGCATCCAATCAGCCATTATCTGATGTGGTAAATGTTATTCCAACATATTTTACTTCCTCCGCAATGAGACGCACGTTCTTCTCTTATTTTCCAATCAATTTGAAATCAATTTAATGAAATGTTTGCATTGTACTCGAATGCGAATGCCTCGTGTAGGTATGTATATAGCTGCGTGTGCCAGTTGGCTGCGATAACAGCCAGAGCCCCCTTCGTTTCGGCCAAAAGTTTCGGTTCCATGAGGCCTATGTATGTATATATTTACATTGCGTGTCAGGCAGAGTTCAAGTCCAAACATCTGAGCAGACCAGCTCCGTCACCTCGCCCTTCAACTCCCTCTGGTAGACGGGCGAGCGGGGAGTTGTTGCTTTTGTTTATCGGCACATTCCGTGCGATTTCAATTTACAGTTTCCTTCATCGAAAATGCAAATGTAAACAGGCAACGTTATCTGTGCAATGATCTGAGTTCGATAAAGCCGGTGCGTGCCGTTTCTGTGGCCGGTGCCGCGACGCCTCGGTCCCCCGATTTTGATCTCGATTGAGTGCAAAGTTCCTTTAATAAGAACCAAATAACATGCAAAATGTTCAGACAGGGCGACGACAATTGTGACGACCTCGCCCACAAAGCCAGAACATATGCAGCTGTGGAGCGATTGTTTAATATTTTTAATGGCTTTATTGTGGTTGGTGTTGTTGTTGCTACTCGCTTGATTTACTGCATTGGGCATTTCGAGCGATTTTTATTTTGTTTCAGGCGCACTTTGTAAATTATGGAATTGCATTTACGAGCCATTGTTATGTAACCCTAATTTGTGGAAATTTTCACTCTGAACGCTCAGCATGAACATGAATTTGCAAACAGTATTAAACGGTTATATTTTCTGGCCATAATTGGCAATGAATGTCACAAATGCATTATGCTTTATAATTGACGGCCGGCACAAAATTTCGATTTGCCCGGACTCGTCCCCAGCCCCCAAAGGCTTTAATGCGTCTGTATTTCAATAAAAGGGGGAGCCTTTGACACTCTTCCTTGTAGCATTTGAAAGCTTTTTCATTTATGAATGGCCTCCTATTTATAAATTAGATAGTTGGTTAGTGCGCATATAGGAAATTAATTATTACACAGGACTTTATCGAATATCTCACACGAGTCGGCTGCAGATGATTGCAAGCAGAAATGAATTAACCTTGACCTGACCTCTCCTCTTTTCCAATTCCACAACCCCTTTGCAATGTTCAATTATTCCGAGAAGGCTCAGTTTCAGAAAATTGAAATAGCAATAGATAATGACTTCCTCCAATATACTATATTGTTTATTGGAAAACGTTTGAAATGTGTCCGGTTTCCAAATGTCTTTGTCTAATATTCGCTACTTTCAGAAAAAACAGACCGATTTTTATTTTTTCGGACAGCCAAGCGGCGCTCAAAGCGTTGGAATCCAATGTGGACAACTCAAAAATTATTACTGACTGCCCCAAATCTCTCAACGAGATGGCCCAGCAGGCCAGTACCACCCTCATATGGGTGCCAGGACACCAGAATATTGAGGGAAACTGCATTGCAGACGAGATGGCAAGGGAGGGAACAAACGCAAGCATTCTTCCCGACAGGGAAGGCATGGGAATGCCGTTAGCAACCTTTCGGCTCATGACACGCAATCATGCGCATTTCATGGCACAGCAGCGCTGGGAGAGCACAAACACATGCGTTTGTGCCAGGCTTACCTGGCCATCCCTTGATACAAAAAGGACGTTAAAACTTGTAAGGCTAAGAAGGACAGATATCTTCATGGTGGTGGGGGCCCTCACGGGCCACTGTCCGATTGGCATACATGCATCAAGACTGAACATTCCGTTCAACGACTTCTGCAGAAGCTGCAGAGATGAGGAGGAGCAGGAAAGTGTGGAGCACCTCCTCTGCCACTGCCCGGCACTTAGCAGGCGCAGGCTATGCACCTTAGGGAAACCTTTCTTAAGTGACCTCTCGGAATTAAAAGATGTGGAGCTCGTGGACTTAGCAAATTTTTTGAATACCACAGGGTGCCTGAAGGCTCACCAACAAAACTAGGGATTACATGGTATCACAATGGGCCTCCTATGCCTAAGTGGAGGGATGATTATCATCACCCCCGCCATTTCAACCTAACCTAACCTAACCTAACATAGTTAGTTAGCCGAGCCAACCGGGACCTTTTTGTACACGGCATCAGGATAGTAACATAGTTAACAATATAAACGGACAGAATCAATGAGTGCAATCAATAACAGTAACATAATTAGTTACAAGTACATCAGCATAATCAGACATATCTGAGCACAGGACCACACCAAGCCGAGCCAAGGACCATTTTGTACACGGCATCAGGATAGTAACATAGTTAACAATATAAACGGACAGAATCAATGAGTGCAACCAATAACATTATCAGTAACATAGTTAGTTAGCCGAGCCAAGGTAACGGCATCAATCGGGACCTTTTTGTACTCGGCATCAACATAGTAACATAATTAACAATATAAACGGACAGAATCAATGAGTGCAACCAATAACAGTAACATAATTAGTTACAAGTACATCAGCATAATCAGACATATCTGAGCACAGGACCACACCAAGCCGAGCCAAGGACTTTTCTGTACACGGCATCAGGATAGTAACATAGTTAACAATATAAACGGACAGAATCAATGAGTGCAACCAATAACATTATCAGTAACATAGTTAGTTAGCCGAGCCAAGGTAACGGCATCAATCGGGACCTTTTTGTACTCGGCATCAACATAGTAACATAATTAACAATATAAACGGACAGAATCAATGAGTGCAACCAATAACAGTAACATAATTAGTTACAAGTACATCAGCATAATCAGACATATCTGAGCACAGGACCACACCAAGCCGAGCCAAGGACCATTTTGTACACGGCATCAGGATAGTAACATAGTTAACAATATAAACGGACAGAATCAATGAGTGCAACCAATAACATTA